AAAACAAACAAAAGCATCATTAGAAGGACCAGGGTAGCTTTGATCAAGACCAGATTGCAGGGAAGGTGAAAACAGGAAGATCTATACAAGCCAGTTGGTCATTGAGCCTAGCACTTGGGTGATATGGAGAGTACTCCCTGGAGTCTAGTCCCACCCTGATGTCTAGCTGTCTTAAGGCAGTATTTAAACGTTAGTGTTAAAATTGAAGTTGTGGGGCCGGCAGGTAGCATGGTGGTTGAGTTGCTAGATGCCCACATGGCCGACCATGGTATGAGTCCTGGACCAAGCAGCTTGCGCGCGCTCTCGCTCTCTCTCTCTCTCTCTCTCCTTCCCTCCTTCCCTCCCTCTGTATCTCAATGGTGAGCTCATGTACTCTACCACAAATTGAAATATAATAATAGTAAATAAATTTTTTTAAAGATTGAAGTTGTGATTTATGGAATTAAGGGAGGCACAGATACCATATTTCTCTTTCTTCCCTTCCTTTCTCTCTCTCTCCCTTGTTTTCTTTCATGAGAAAAGACAGAGAAAAAGAGAAAGATACAGTCAACAGGGCTTCATGCTATAATCCACACCTCGACCTCCACCAGCCTTTTAGCCAGCCATGATCATACCTGGCATGTATAGGTTGAGCCAGGAAACAGACCCTGATCCTCCACATGGCTTCCAGCATTGCAGAGCATTATGCTACCGTTGCAATACTGCAGCTGGGGCAAATACTACATTTCCACTAAGTTTCCAGCTGGTGCTGATACAATTGATCCCTTGGCCACAATGGAAGTATCAGCTTTAAGGAGCATAAACAAGTAATCTGAGAAAGTTGGATTAATAATATGTGAGATCCTTTTTCCCCCATGGAAAAAAACAGTCCATAGGAAAGATAGACTCCAGTCCCCAGTGATTGTGCTACCCATTTCTCAGACAGCATAGACCTTCATCATAATTGGTTCCTGGTCTTACTGAAGATGATTAAGTTAGCATATCCCTGTGCCATTAGTAGCTCTGCAGCAGAATGCAAGGCAGGCTCAGAGAGAAGAGGGAGAAGTAGAAAGCCAGGAGATCAAACAGCAGATGGCTAGTTGGGCAACAAAAGGTCACAGGAATTTACAATCCCCAAGCACCATAAAAATATCTGGGTGGTAAAATGATTAAAAACAGACTGAAAACTACTAGTGAAGTAATGGGGCTTGAGAACATTAAAATGTAGGGACGTTATCATAAAGAGGCTACTAAATACTAGACGTAATATTAAACAAACCAATTAAATCTAGAGCAAAGCATCTAAATGAAACTGTGATACAGAAGCTTCTGGAAAGTTTCTAGGGAATACAAAATGGTAATTTGAACCTAATTATATGCATGTGAAAAATGCCATTGATACCCTCTTTATTTAATAGCTACTGCTGCTGTTTTACATCAGTAAATGTTAACACAATTATCGAGGATGTCATAATTCACTCCCACTCTGTATGTCCAATCTTACTTTTCAATTAAAATTTTTATATTGTCAATTAAAAATATTGTCATTGTGTTGCTGCTGGGGTATAATGAACTCAATCAAAAATGTGAAACTCCAGTATAGTAGATAACTCAAATTGCAGCTCAGCTTAATCAAACAAGTAAACCTTTTGTTTAGACTACGTATTGTCATAAAAATTCCTGAATTGAATTCCTGATAGGCCATGCATGGTGGAATTGACCAGAGCTCCCAGAGTCAGTGAACAACTTGGTGTGCTTATCTACCTGGATTCTGAAGGACATAAGGCCACCCCTTTTATTAACTCATTAAAACATGAGTAACATTTTCATATGTGTGCTTAGATATAACATTGATTCTCTGAATCTTTGACTTCAGAGAATTTGAGGTTTACCTGGGCATATAGAACAAACATAAATAAATTTAAGATTAAGTAGACATAACAACTTCCCTAAAAGAGACAAAAATCCAAGGTTTTCGACAGTGCAGAGAAAAGAAGCCCAGGACAGTTTTCACCAGAGTCCTATGAGCTGACAGTTAAAGAATGGATGGAATTTAACAGTCAGAAAGAAGGCTTCTAAGTGTGATGGGGAGAAGAGAAGAGCCACAGATGTGGAAATTACAGGGCATGTCAAAGAAGACAAGAAACTAGAGCAAAATGGAAATGAAAGTCACAGGAAAAATTGAGGACACATTGTGTTAGAAGGAAATGTCACTCCATGACAGCCCTGATGGCCACCAGTTCCCTCTCTTCTCTTGGAGTGCAAGGTAGCCATCAACACCCAAACCTGGGCAAGCCTGGGCCTGCTAGCTTGCTATTCCACTCTCCATTCCTCCCCTTTCCTCACTGGACTTCCCTTATCCCAGTCTCTGTGGAAGCATCACAGCATCACACCACTCTTGCCTAAGATCCCATCAGTGTGCCTTGCCATGCTCACATCAGCCTCTTTACTACTCTCATTACTCATTGCTGAGGAGGAGCCAATCTGACCTCACTCTTCCAGAGGTCTCAGCACACCCCAGTCCCTACAAACAAGGCCTACACTGCCTCATGGAGTCAGAGCATAGATTTTATTTCTATTTTTTTTTTTTTTGGCTGTGGGGAGTGGTTACCATAAGGTACATGTTCTTGCCAGCGAGAGACAGAAAGAGATAGAGAAAGGGAGAGTGAGAAATAATCCCAAGAGGATGGCCATGCCTTGGTCCCTTCTTCTCTGCTCTCTCTTAAAGATTTTGGGTACACATGCACATGTACCTGGCATGATTTTCAAGCTGCTGGGTCTAAAACTTGAATTGCAGTAGGCTGTGTGAGAGTCAAGTGCTTTAAGCACCACACCACCTGTTGCTGGCCCCCAGAACACAGATTTTTTTTTTTTAACTATTACTCATTTTCTCTTGGATTTCTCTAGTTGCTTCCAATCAAACATTTTGGTTTTATGTCTGACAATAATTCTTTTCTCTCTCAGTCTCAAAATTTAAAATAAACAAACAAAACCAACAAAACAGGGAGTCAGTAGATGGCATAGCAGTTATATCACTGACTCCCACCTGACCGACTACAGGTCGAGTCCTGGACCTACTGGTTTCAAAATCATGCTGGGCACATGAGAATGCATGCCCAAGATCCCAGGAGAAGAATGGAAGAAAAGGAACTTTGGTATGGCCACCCCCCTGGGGGGATGATTTCTCACTTCCCTCTCACTGCTTCTGTCTCTCTCTCTCTCTGGTGAGCACATGAACCTCAAGGCAAAAACCTTTCAAAAAAAAAAAAAGAAAATCAATAGGCAAAAACCTTTCAAAAAAAAAAAAAAAACATAATGGCTATGTTGCTGGACTCCCATGTAGTTGATCGCAGTTTGAGTTGCGGACCCGGTGGCTTAAAACTCACGCAGGGCGCGTGTGCGTGCATGCCCAAGATCCCGAGAGGAGAATGGAGGAGAAGGGACTGTGGCATGGCCATCCCCCCTGGGGGGGGGTGGTTTCTCACTTTCTGTCTCTGTCTGTCTGGCGAGCACAAGCACCCTATAGCAAAAACCTCTTAAAAAAAAATAAATAAAACAGACTGCACCACATCTTTCTTTATTTATTTTAGATGGTGTCACCATGTTATGATCCACCTGCTTCAACCTTACAGCTGGTACCAAAAGTGTGCATCATCATACCCTGCTCTTCTTTTACTACACTGCCCAGGCCAGGCTTGAACTCAAGATTCTTCTACCTCAGCCTCCTTAAGTTCTAGGATTACAGGCATACACCATTATGCCTGGTTTTAGGTTGGAATGGGAATAGAACCTGGGATTCCCAATAGAGCACAGTGTCTTAGCACACAAGTTGCTGTGGCTAGCCCCTGTGGTCTCTTTTATTCTGCATGCCCATTTTCCACCAAACTCTCATGCTTTTTTCCCTCTATTCTTTCAGTCCTTGGCTATCAAACAATACCCAAACTATTCCTGCAAGAGCTTTAACTTACCAGGGTGGCAAGGACCCTTACTAAATAGTAATTCATCCAGTTTTTTCATCATCACATCTTCTACAAAAATGTTTAGAAGTCTCTGGGACCAGCAGTTAGCATAATGGCTATGTCACTGGACTCCCATGTAGTTGACCGTGGTTCGGGTCCAAGACCCGGCGGCTTAAAACTCACGCCGGGAGCATGTGCGCACGTGCCCAAGATCCTGAGAGGAAAATGGAGGAAAAGGGATTGCAGTGTGGCCATCCCCCCTTGGGGGTGATTTCTCGCTTTCTGTCTCTCTGTCTCTCTGTCTGTCTGGCGAGCGCACGCGCCCTATAGCAGAAAATTTCTTCTTCTTCTTCTTCAAAAAAAAAATGTTTAGAAGTCTCTGTTACCATATATTAGAAATAGATTCCTTCATTTGGCTTTCAAAAACCCTCATAGGTTCAGCCTTGCAACATGAACTGCAGTGCTAGAAGCCACATGACTGACCACGGGTTCAGATTCCTAGGTCAGCCCAAAAACACACTAGGTGTGCGCATGCCCAAGATTCTGAAAAGTTGGAGGGTTAAGGAAATGGGATCGCAGTGTGATGAGACCCTGTCAAAGGTGCTTTTCTCTTTTCTCATGAGTACACATACTATCATCAATAATTAAAAAAAAAAAATTTAAAGATCCTCATAATCTGACTCAGTCTGTCTGTCCCTTTCGCCCCTTCCTGTTCTCTTCAGTTTGGTTCCTGCAAACTCAGCTCAATAGTGCTCTGCAGAAACCCTTTCCTCATTCCTCATTGTTTTATTTATTTAATCTGTTTTGCCCGCCTAAATTCTATATATAAAGATATAATGTCTGTAGATTCATATTTGTTCATTTTGTCTTCACTAACTTACAGAAAGGTTGGGGTTTTTGGTTCTGCTTTGTGCCACTATCATTTCAAATGTCTAAGCTGATCATGAACATGCCATGGACATTTTATAGTTAGGGACAGAAATTCCACAGTGAAGAGCTGCAATAGATTTTAGTTAGTAAAATGTGCTGGAGAAAACAAAGCGATGCTAAATGCAGACTTACCAGAGAAGACACTAGGTATCTTGGAAAGAAAGCTTTTGACAGTCCGAATAGGAATTCCATTTTTTTCGTCTTGCATACGTGCTATGACGTCTTCCATCTAAAGAACAATAATAAAAGGATTAAAACATTTAAGAAGTAGGACTTCTTGAGAAAATTCAGTTCTCATAACACTTTCATATACCAACTAAGAAAAATGCCATATTCTTGCCTTTCTAAACTTTGTTACTTTAATATTTTAATTTTGCTTACCAGGAGGTGGGGAAAGCAGCAAGAAAAATTGCCATTTTAGGGTCCATTAAGTTATTAACAGGAATTTTGTGATTTAAATATCGCCTTTCTCTTGGTTTTACTTTCTTTCATAATAAAGGTTGAGATAAAAGAGTGTTTACTGTTGAAGTTCTCAGAAACCCTTGCCATAGCAAATTCACACTTCATTAATGTTATCTCTACTGAGTTCAGTGAGAAAGAAAATAGAAGCTTTAAAAGCATCTGTCTGCATTTCCTCTTCAAGCAAAGGAGTTTCTATGATTTGCTTTAATGTTCAAGTCTAAATCCTGCCTATAAATACTGATTTGATTGCTAACAGCTGCTGCCTGTATCATCCAGGTGCTTCCTGAAGGATGATATGAAATACACACACACGTATGTACATGCATGCACACACACTTGTGTGCACATATGCACATACACATATACCAAAATGAGTGTAACACCATAGCCATCTGCCCATTTAGTAGACTCCTCCATATCTATCTGTCTTCCAGTCTTAGAAGGATACTCTTTCTCATTTTTTTACACATTTTTCACAGTTCTAACGGGCTGTGTTTCTCAGACTACAATGTGGAGTGTAATTCTGAATACTATTTATTCAAATCATCGCCTCAGACTTCCCTCATGAGCTTCTAAACCTGTGAAGCACATTCTCTCTCTCTCTCTCTCTCTCTCTCTCTCTCTCTCTCACACACACACACACACACACACACGCTCAAGCTGTAATATGGGACCTGAAACCCATTTATCCACTTACTCATTCCCCACGTAGTCACTGTCTCCCAAATTTGAACTGCCCTCACCTTTGGCCACTCTGGCTACAAAATGAGTATGAACCAGTTCATGCTCTCAAAAAAATTCATAGTTAGCAGCAAAACCTGAGGTGAAATTTGAGTACAGTTTGTAGTATAAATAGTAATGTAGCATATCAATGTCCTGTTTGCATAATTATGCCTTAATTGTCTTAGATGTTAACTACCAAGAGAACCTGAGTAAAAAGCATATGGGAATTCTCTGTGTAATTTTTGCGTCTTTTTGTAAATCTAAAATGATTTCAAATTTAAAAGTTAAAAGAAAAACACAGGCTAAACTTTATATCAATGAACTATCAAATTCCCATCAACACAGCTTCAGAATGGTTTCTAACTTAAACTAATTTACTTAGATAGGTATTATTAACTTAATTTTTCCCCTAGTTTTTTGTCATAGGATACATGTGCTCACCAGAAGGGGGGAGAGAGAGAGAGAGAAAGAGAGAGAGAGAGA